ACACACACACACACACACACACACACACACACACACACAAATAAACACACGATTCGAGAAGAAATCAATATACAAAATAAAAATCTGACTATGGCTGAAAGTGAATGTGGAAATGTTTGTGGTAAGCATCACAGGCAGAGAATGTGCGCTCAGTCGAGGATCAGCTGTAGTAACATGCAAATCTTTATTCAACAGATGCTCAGTCATGTTGCAGCCGGGAGCGAGAAGTCGTTGCCAGCAGTGCAGCCGTAAAAGTATTTCCCAATAAGATCTACAAATCGGAGCAGCCCAAGGGAGACCATGTGACGGGCATGACCTGCGAGTGTGGAGTGTTTGGTGCCATTGCCTGCGGCGAATATCCTACACAGGTGATTAAATAATATTGTTATGAGAGTGAGACTTGGAATATATATGTAAATATATATATACAGCTAGTTCTTTTAGGCAAAACTAACAAAAATTTCTCTATATGTATCTACAAAGTTTCTTCCGCATTGAGACTTATTTGTACTTCAAAGAGCGACAAAGCAACGGCAAAACATCCTGCGGCATCTCATATGACTGACTCGGCTCCTGCTCTCTATCGGCTCTGTGTGTTAATTTGGCGCAATTGCCGAAATTCTTCTACACTATTCTCTACACTCAATTTGCATCACATTTCATCCATTTTTTTTTTTTTTTTTTCTTTAGTTTGGCTTCTCCTTTTTCCGCTCTAACTTTTCCCACATGTGGGCTCTCTGACAGTTTGAATATTTGTGCATTTCAGAGTCTTTTGCATGATGTTTTGAATAAAGCATTTGGAGCATTTAGTTAATTAAACCGAGCTAGGTCTATAAACCTCTTAACAAAACTTTTGCAGCTGAATCCAACACCGTTTAAGGCAGATGAAATAGATAGTCTCCTCCCCGGCTCTGTATCAAATTTCAACAGCATAAAACTCTAGGTCGACTACAGCAATTTGCTAGGATGATTTATGTCTTTATTCAAATAATTTGAAACTTTACATCTGTTTATTACTCTATTCTAATAGAGCTACATATTACTATTTTTTTTTTTTATTTAATCCTATGAATATACTATGAGGCAGCGAATTCTATTACTTCAATTTCAAATATTATTCCCTAAAATTCCTCTCTACTGTTCCATTTTGATATATATTCATTTGCATATACAACATCTTTCCCAAAAATTTAAAGATTTTTTTTCTCAGTTTCAATTATCAAATATCTTTATTATTTTTTAATTTTTTACGTTTCGCCCTTAATTAAATTGTAAATGAAACCTAAAATGTTCTATCTAAGCTCTAAGCGTTTTCACATTGTTTGAAACTTTTTAGCTGATGCTAAAATCACAGAAACTACTTCAACATTTGACCAACGACCAGAAAGTAACTCAAAGTTAGCAGCCAAAAAAAGAAGAAAAATAAAAAACACACAAAAAAAATAGAAAAATTATTTTCCAAAATTGCTGACAACCGCAAATTAGAGTTGGGTCGAGAGTTGATTTAAAAGACACTCTCTAGAATTATTTACAGATTGCGTGAAAGAGTGAAATAACCTTGCAATACATAAACAAATAGCATCCAGAGCAGAAATGAGCCGAGAGCCATACATAGTCCGAAATGAAACTTCCTTCAAGCATAAATTCAGTTGAATAACAATATTTTTGCCAGGGCTTTTGATTTATGGCAGACAAAT